TCTGAAAAGACATGGTTTGGTTCCATGGTAGGGGCGAAACTTCTTCTCGAGAAGGAAATCTTTAAACCCGAGAAAGAATCTTAATAATGATGAGGCCTTTGGAACAATATATTCCAGAGAGAATAGTTTGCTAGTTGCCAAGAAATTCTGCAACTAGGCATTGCACTACTGATATTCTAATCGTCACTATTATTCATATCGACACTGTTGCCTAGGTATTCAAATGGTGCTTTCCCACGCATTTAGGTTTCAGGTTTGGGTAAATTCTCTAGCTGTAAAAATGATAGTCTTGAGTGTGTCATCAGGTCAATTAGTTTGTTTGAGCAACAAGATGCCATATTCTGCTTATAACTCTATCACTATGAATAGTTACATCAGTAAATATTTGAGGGTTTTATTCCAATAACTTGATTTTTAACCCTTTTTTTTGTTTTTATGAAGATAGTAGCCCCACTGATCATTGTTGAGAATTTTACCGGAGTAGCGCTTACAAGGAATCTGTATGAAAAGGAAGGTAAAGAGTAAGCATTTTTTGTTTTTGTTTTTTTGGTTACGAAATCCCTGTTGATATTTGGAATCCTTATCCCCAATCTAGCAGAAAAAAACAACAAGTATTCTTATTCCTCTCCAAGTGGTTGCTCCTTTTGCAACTTGGAGAACCCGAACCTGAAGTAATAATCACTGGTTCTTCTATAATGGAAGTTTCTGTAGCTTAGTGTTAAGATGTGTGTTTGAAGTATCATTACACAAACTTGAGAATTTTCATGGTGGAGATATTATTATCACCAAAAGAATGATCCCTTTACAATATGTGATTCGGACAAACTTTACATAAAAGAAGGAAATGGCATTTTATCACCAGGAATCCCATATAGAGCATTCCCATTGAGGGAAAAAGTATCAAAACATAAGCCTGCTGGTCCTGTACCGGCCTATAACAGTAGAGATCTTTGCTTTATCCTTCTTCCTTTTTGGTTGTTTCTTGGGAATCATTGAATATAAGAAGTTACGAAAATGGAGAATCTACATGCTCAAGGGTTTTCATTGGTTAAGGAGAGAATATACAGACCTGGAAAAAAAATATGCTAATCTTTGCTTTTGAACAAGAACTCATGCTAATCTTCTTCTCATATGAGGCAGGGTAGGTGGAAGCATGCACTATTAGCTGAGAGACTTGTGTTGCTTTTGACTTGAGGAGCTTTTATCAGTAAACTGTAATAATACTTGTTGATTTTCTCTGTAAATTAGTGCAGAAAACAGTCATCAAAGTTTTTAGAATATTTTGTTTCTGTTGCTGAGCTAATAATACCTTTCTTTGTTGATTTTGTCTTTATTGACCACTTAAACTTTTGTAAATTGTTATGCTATGGGAGATGGAAGACTCACTTGTGAGAGCCAATTGGTCATATAGTGAGTTAGTGACATTGCTTTTTGATCTGCTAATACCTTGAGCTAATCCATTTATTGTCAATTGGTTTGAGTATTTACAATTGAGTTTGAATTGGAAAATTTAACATTGGTATCATTGACCAAAAATACGATGTTAAACCCGAACTAAAATCCATTTAACCCAAAATTAGTTTTATCGATCCAACCCCAAATTGGTAAGGGACTAATCCTATAATGGGATATTGTCGAGATAGGAAAATCCCATCATCACGAGGTGTATTT